GGGTGCTAGCAGTGAGGCCAAGTGGCTCTGTGATTTTAAGGGGGACCAAGAGAGAAAAAAATAGTGGTGGCTGTCACTTGATAACAAAAGCAGCAGCAGATAGACAAAAACTGCAAGGATGTCAAAGTCTAAGAGTTGGTTCCCCTGCCTTTCCTTGGAGAAGGGATTATCACAGGAAATGTGACTCTGTCCTTGAGAAATGGTTGAAGCTGTAGTTCATTCTCTTGCTGTTTACTCAGGAACTCTGTAAAAGCAGTTTCTCAAAAAACAATTTTGAAAGACAGACATTTACATCTCTTTTTCGTTCACACAGCTCTTTTCAGAAGATGTGCAAAACAGAACTCCTGCAGGGTACCTGTTAGTGAGAGAACTCATAGTACTGATCTTTAACTGTTACTGGGGAAATTGTAGGATTAGGTATTTTTCCGTTATTTTTGCAAGGCCACCCCTTTCATTTTGAAAATCAAAAGGTAAATTTTAGGTCAAAGATTAAAACCAGTCTATCGGTGAGAACTGTTTATTTCAGGAAAATCCATCTCCATGCCCCACAGATTGACTTCTTCCCTAGTGTCATTTTGCCATGGGGAAGTACCTTCAGTTCCTTTTGTTGGTTCTCAGAAAACAGTTTTGGGGAAGAAGACCTCAGAAGCAAAACTTTTTCTCTGACCTTCTCCTTTCCTCCTGTAACCCAGTCCCTTTGTTCCCTGGGGCTAGCCATAGAAACTAGAATCCCTCTTCTCTAAAGCAGGTCATAAAAGTCAGAACCCTTCCCCTTAGCCCTCAATTCAGTGATAAATGCTAAAGTTATTCTATATATAAACTGGCCACAAAGAAATTATCTGACCTACCTTGTTTGACTGTAGGTCACAAGACCCCCATTCCAGAGAGACCCCCACCCTGCACCCAGAAGGAAAGAATGTATGCTCTGAGAGGCTAAGAAGAATCTATTAATAGACAGGCCTTGCTGGATTTCCCTACTCAATCTATTAACAGTAGATCATATCTTTTTTGTCCAATATTGTTTCTACATGGCTGCCCATACTTTGTTGAATTTAAGCATAAAACTGAGCAGTTTCCCCTATGTTGTTAGATCTTCATTCTGAAGGCTCCCATGTGTACATGTTAAATAAATTTGTGTGCCTTTTGTCCTATTAACAATCTGCCTCATGTCAGTAATTTTTCAGCAAATCTTTAGGGGACCAAGGGCCTTGTCTACACTTTCATAATCGCCATCTCTGTATGTGTAAATCTTTGATTTTAGAAGTTAGTGCAAATTTACATAATCACATCTGCTCCCCTAATTCAATTAGCAGTTCATATCATATCTACACCCCATACACAATTCCCCTGAGGATCTTTATTGTCTGATAAAGTAATCAGGAAGTACTTGTGGCTACATAACATTTGAAATGTGGCTATTGCTGCTAAGGATTGAATTTTTAATTTTATTTAATTTTAATTAATAGTTTTAAAGCCTGATACTTCATGCAGTTATTGGAAAATGGTGGGTATGTTTGAACTCAGATATGTTAATTTAATTTCAATAGTAAAGTTTATGAAATCTAAATGCAAATTGTTATTTCCAATAAAAATTATATTTCACATTGAATAAAATTTACACCAAATTTGGAAGACTTAGGATGAAAGAAGGAATGTAAAATAGTGCATTAATACTTTTTATATTGATTGCATATTGAAATAATATTTTGATATTTTGCATTAAATATGATATAGTATTAAAATAATTGTACTTCTTTTTTCTTTGTAAAATATAGTTAATGGAAAATTCAAAATTATATGTGTAACTTGCACTATTTTTTATACGAAACCCAGGTCATTATGACGTAGGTGAGCCATAGATCTCGAAGGAACACTGGCCAGGAGTGTGTTTTCAGAGGGGAAATGAGCAGAGCCCTATACAAAACCAAGTTACAGATTCTGGACTCAAGCTAGAATAAAGCGATATATATCTATATATATCTATATCTATACATATGTAAAAAATTACATTAGGGAACTAAGGGAGGCTTTCCAAATAAACCATTATACATCAAAGGCAAGAATAGATGGACAGCAAGAAAAATTACTGATATTTGAATTCTTCAATGGCAAGATATCAGTAGATGGAGACTACTTGAAATTCTATACTAATCTTTTTTTCCCCAAGTGTATGTTTTTGAGGGAGAACATCCAAAATTGATTTTTAAAGCAATTAATGTCCCCAAAAGCTTAAGCTTCTATACATGTACAATAGAATATACATTCTGATGATGAAAAAAGAAAAAGAAAATTGTGGAAGCACAAAGGCATTTCATGAAAAGAAGGAAGGCCAGAAAAATGGTTTACTGTTCCTGCAAGCTAGGTAAACATCCAGAAAGACTGATATAATAAAATCAGGTTAATTACTTTGGAGCCTAAAGAGCATAAAAAGTTAATCTATTATTTGATTAATGAGTAAAGCGAGGATGTCAAGAAATTATACCATGAGGCTTCATAGACATTTATCTTGCAGTTACTATATTTTTATTTAATGTTTCTAGTGTTAGCGTTCAGGAACCAATACTGCAGAATAAAGGCCTAAGAAGCAGCCTCAGAAGCAAAACTTTTCCTCTGACCTTCTCCTGCCCTCCTGCCTCTCCGTCCCATTCTCCCCCAATGGTAGCGATAGAAACTAGAATCTCTCTCCCTAAAGATGGGTCATAGAAACCAAGACCTCTTTTTCCCCCAAACTAGCCATAAAACCTAAATATATTACCTTAACTTTCCCTTTGCCTTTCTGTGTAAAAAATGGCCGAAAAGAAATCATCTGACATAACACTAGGTCGTAAGACTCGCATTCCAGAGATGGTCCTTTCCACACCCAGAAGAAAGGAATGCATGCTTAGAGAGACCAAGAAGAATCTAGACAGACAGGCCTTGCTGGCCCTGCTCACTCTGTTAGCATTAGATCATACCCTTTTTGTCCAATTCTATTTCTACAGGACTGTCCATACTTTGTTGAACCTACGCATGAAAATGGACAATTTATCCTTTACCTTTGGGTCTTCATATTGAAGGCTGCGATGTATACACATTAAATAAATTTGTATGCTTTTTCTCCTATTAATCTTCCTTTTGCAAATTGATTTTTCACTGAACCTTCAGAATGCCAATGGGAACTTCCCCCTTGGCTCCTACACTTTACTGATGAATTATATATTGGAAACATTTATTATATTTTTTAGATTTCTTTTATTATTTTGAATGTAACATTTTGATAACTTTCATAAGGTAATGAAATGAAAGACCATTTTCTTCATGTGAAAATAAAGTAGGTCTATGTTTGCTTTTTAGGCAACTGAGGCCTCTCAATGGATTGTAGGCCCATTGACCCCAATGATTACAAATAAATGTAAATATTATCCTTTTTTTTTTTGGAAAAAAAATCCTTTTGCTTTTTTTTTTTTTCCTTTCTCTGAGTTAGTTTGCTAGGGAAGAAAAACTGTTGTAGTGTGGAGGGCGCGAACAGACCACGAGAGAATTTAATGGAGCCAAATTGAGAGTCTTTATTAGCTGGCCAGCGACCACCTCTGCCCGCATAAAAGCAGTACAGAGAGTGGCACTAGTCTTTTGCTTCCACAGAAATTTTATACTAATTTGAGGGGGGCTACGTGCCATAGAACAGGTACTCTAAAACAAAGGAAACAAAGGTAGAATGTACAATTAATATTTCAATGACACAGGGTCCTGAGATCTGGCTGTTCTCACAGATCTCTGGTGCCCAAAGACAAATTACAATCATTGAAGTAAAGCACAATCTAAGTTATAGATTAAACACAGACCATTTTCCCATTATACATTGATCATAAGTTGAACTCTTGACATGTGGAGGACGATCAAGCCCTGAATTCTAACAATTGCTAACCGCAAGCTTTGTACAGAAGCAAATAGCATTCATTACAGTTCCCTAGCAACTATAATTGCATTATACCCTTTTATTTATTAACCCTTTGAAGCATTTCAGCTCACTACAAAACTTTTGCTTCTGAGGCTGTTTCTAAGGCCTTTATTTTGGCTTATTGTTTCCTGAGCCCCAACACTAGAAAAAATAAATAAAAATATAGCATAATGATGTTAGGAGGCAAATCCCCTCATCAGCAATGGCACCTTTCCTTTTAATAATGAATACATAGTGTCAAAAAACAAAATTACAGCACATTTAATTTAAAGATTTCATAGAATAAATGTTCCCCATGAGCTGAGCCAAGGGATTAGCTTTATAGATGGAGAAGCTCTGAGGAAAGGATAAGCAAAGAAAAAGAGTATATTAGTTTCATGAAAGCGGCTTTTCTTGTAAGGCAGAGACAGAGACAGATCAAGAGAATAATAAAAACAGGTTAGTTCAGTCTACTTCTTTTGTGTAAAGATTAAAACATAAGAAACCTCATTATCATGCCCATTGAAGGTATAAACTGGCCTGTTTGGGAAATTGACTGTGACCTCTTTCTCCTGATTTCTCAGAAGTTCACAGAACAAATTAGTTTGTGTTGTAAATGTGGAACTTTACCATTTTGATTTTTGGTCTCATCTGTTGGGGACTACTGCAGAAATTTAGTGTGTAACTACGACCTCCTGTAATTTTTATTTAACACTAGAAACTATTCCACTGACATCCTCACCTTCTCACCAAATACAACTGTCTAGTTTGAAAGACAATCTCAGAAGAGATGCAGCTTTCTAAAGTAATAGATTGCATACCTTTACACACCCAATTAAGAATCACATATAATATCCTATGTAACAAAATCCATGAATGTACTTCTCATTCCAATTTTTAAAAATTCATTTTTTGTTTTCACCAGGAGAGGTAAAATAAGTGAATACACTACACCAGCTTTTATTGAGGAAGCGGCTGACTCTGAACAGAGCTTTTTCTAGTTCACAGAAAATAATAGCCTTGGATTATGTCCTCTCCCCCTGGATTCCACAGGAATGTATATACCCTTGGGCGTGCCAGTTACTTGCTTGGCGTGGATGGCCCACGGGTTGGTGTCCTCAAAGAGAATCAGATAGACATCCCATGTCTCCTGCAGCGCCATCACCGCCGAACTCTGGAAGTGCAAGGCGGTCTTTAAGTCCTGCACCAGGCGCTGAAAGGGCAGTTTGCCATCAGTGGCTCTGAGTGGCGGCGGATCTCGTGCAGGTCTACGGTGCAGGGGCGATAGCGGTGGGACCTTTTCACGCCGCCAGTGGCTAGCGCCCTCTTGCAAGCCGCCTTGGTGGCCAGCTGCTTGCGCCGGTGGACTTACGCGCTGTCAGCTTGGTACTAGCCAGGACGACAGAAATGACAAAACTGACGGATTGTTGTACCGTGCAGTTTCAGACTCTCTCTAATGAACAGACCGGTTCAGTTTCTCTGTCCGCGCTGCGATCTAATTGGTCTT